AGTGTGTGTGTGTGTGTGTGTGTGTGTGTGTGTGTGTGTGTGTGTGTGTGTGAATAGGGGAGGCAGGAGGGGGTTCATGCACGTAACGCTTGTTTTTATAAAGAAAATCCACACTTGTATTTGTCTACACTTACCATCATTGTCTTGTGTTTTTTCAGACCTCCTGGGGAAAAAAAAGAATAAACAAAACAAAACAATGCAGTGAGCAAAGAGAATAGTAAACTAATGTTCAGGCATGCCAGCCCATGATCTGCACTCTTCATCCTTCTTGGGTAAAAAAACCACAAGCGCTCTGCTTGCTCAGTCAGTATTAAGTTGAGCTACAAAGTCTAAATTCCCAACTGATCGAGTTTTTTAACTTATGTTATTTTGTGTTTTCAAGGCTCGCAGCACCTTTCGCTCCGTCCTATCGGAGATGGACGTAAAATTCGGAGATCCCGCTTCTTAAATAAACTTACAGTAACAGTATTCTAAAAGGCGTTAAAAAGTTTAACACATACACGTTGGGAAATGAGAAAACTAACGAAAGTAAACCATTAAGTCTTCATGAAAAGATTGTTTCATTGCGTACATTATAGGTTTATCAAAGTAACAGCCTAGCATGACTCCTTGTTCAGTCGTTTTATAGTAGTTGTACACACACTTAATTATTAGTGCAGCATCTTGGTTCAAGTGCTAATTTTAATTAATTCTTAATCAAATACTTTTCATATATGATTTCTTTTACCAAAATCTGGAATAGTTCAACGTGTCAAACTGCATGCAAAGATTTTGAATGACGAATATAGCTATGGATTGACGAATCTATGTTCCACAATGAACTTTTCCATCATCATTATTTTAAAATAATAAATGTAGATGTTTTACCTCCGCGCCTCCACCCCCACCCCCACAAGAATACAATAATATAGATCATTAAGGGGTGGGCGTCAACCCTAACTGTCCCAGCCAACCCAAGCTTGAAGGGATACAACATACCAGTAGTGAGACCGAGATACTCGATTAAAAATTCAGACAGGATTCGAACTCGGTTCTCTTGCGTGCAACAGCAAAGCGCCTGCTAAATCCAAGATCCGAGTCCCAGTGATATTGAGAGATGAATATACCATTTCTGGTACTATAATAATAAACAATGCCAAATTCTTCACAACGTTTTCACAAAATTGCCATTGATCATGGTATATAGACAGGAGATACAAGCACGAAACTTTTCCCAACAGAAAAATAGAATAATTCAGAAACTGATGAAGGACACTGAAAGAAAGCAAAGTCACAGCCACATAGAGCAAGAGCCGCTCTTGTCGTTTCAAAATAGTTACAGAGAGACAGGGGCGTATCGCACAGTCCAGGTAAAGGCGGGAAGAAATGTTTATCGAGTATCTCTGACTTTCTGTTAGGAGGCAGTATATATATATAGTACCGGGTCCTGAGAGCCATGGTCGAAACCTGCCATCTATACTGATCTGAATTATTTTGTTGGAGGCAAAACAAAAGACATATTTTTCATTGTATTTTTTTAGCCTAGTTTGGCGCTGAGACTGATGGGGGCGTAAAACAGCAATATATAAAACAAAGATTACATTAAAATAACCAACACCAATACCTTTCGAGCAATGAAAACTTACAACTGTTTTTCTTTATGTTTAGCCATCCTACGGAAACAGCCTGTGGAATGGAAAGAAATTACACTGAGATCATGAGAGCACAAGTCATAGTGAGCCGTATATCACAGACAGCTTCAGAGCTTTATAATCTATATTATACAAATAAAGAGAACAGTTTCCTGGCATACTAGTTAGGCTCAAACGTATGAGGAATTTCCTCAGCACCACTTCAGATTTCATTTTTCTTAAAGCTATCTCACGTTACGCTCTTCCTGAGAGAAAAACATTCCTCAAACAAATAAATAAATAAAAGAAATAATAATCAAGACGTTCCTTTGGGAGAAAAAGTATCACGCTATTTTGTTCATTCTGTTTTGTTGTTGTTGTTGTTGTTGTTGTTGTTGTTGTTGTTGTTGTTGTTGTTGTTGTTGTTGCTTTTGTCCTAACAGATCGAAATTATATTGATGGGGCAGTAAAAATACCAACATTAAAAAAAAAGAAAATTATTCTTACCTTTCCTTTTTAAATAGCAATACACAACCGCTGTGGTAACACAACAAATGACAAAAGCTGCACCGGCTGCCCCAACTGCTATTAGTATGGTCATCTGATCATCGCTTTGTTGTAGTTTTGTCTCGTTCTGCACTAAGTAGGTCACACAAAGAAAGATGAAATGTGTCATAACGCTGTGTAATCAGGCGCTCGTCAACGTTTTTTGGCATGTAGAGTTATTTACGTTATATTTAACGTTGTTTGGGCTTTTGGGTTTTTTATATTTTTACCCTGCCCAATTCTATCGCCTGCCGCTTTTGTGTTTAGTAATAACAACAAAGTGTAAGGCATTTTGGATTTTGAAATTAGCTGTTAATCTTAGAGAAAACACACAGGAGACTGTTTTACATATAAATAAATAAATGAATAATTAAATAAATAATATGTTTCTTCACTCTCATAACGTTTATTGGTAAGTTACGCATCTAAGTGTTATCATAGCCCCAACTGGAGATGGTTACAACAAATGGTTAGTGGTTAATTGTTTAGATAATGCTAGTCCTACATTCCACAGCCTTTTCGAGTCGCGAGGTAGGCACACTCTGTTCAGCTCCCTAGTGGAGTCATCTTTATAGTTGTATTTAAAGTTGTTCTTTTGTCCTGCTTTCAGAGAAAAACAAATACCCATCTATCACGAAAAGATGTCCATTTGTGCAAATGAATGAAGGGGTTGTCGATGGTTTCAGGGGTAAAATAAGCGAGAAAAAGGCCGCCAACGTTTAATGACTTCCTTAATCTAAGAGTCCTTGGAAACTTAAAATTTTCCTTTCTTTGTGAGAGTTTAATCAACGTCTTTTAGTAAAACCCACACAGAAATGTGTTTTTAATAGAGCTAAATAACAAAATTTCAGAAAAAAAGGATTGCCAGACAGAGGAAAAATACCGGTTTCTTCGATTTCGTTATTTTGAGGAGCGCCTGATTTCACCATGATGCTTCACAAATATGTCAAGACGTGGTGCAATCAGGCACTTGTTAAATTTGGGGCATATGGAGCCCTTGATTGATTGATTGATTGGGTTGATATTTTACGGCACTATCGACACACTTTTGGTCATTTAAGCTCATCAGGTTTCACCCCTACAAAATCAGACGTGTTTTTAGTAAGAGTCTTTCGGAGCTCGCAACTGCAAACGATCACACTATTTCCATTATGCTAAAAAGACGAACAAACATTTATAAAAGAATTTTTTGTAAATATGGAAAAGGCTTATTTACATTTGCATATACAATTTAAATTTCAGTGTATGTATATATATACACCGTATGTATATATACACCGATAACGATAACTATATATTTTCATATTCTATTAAATAGTCCAATTTCTTTTATAAAACTTAAAATCTTTCTAGGCTCTATGATGTCAGAAAGGGTCTTAATAACTTTACATTTAAAATATTTCTCACGAACATAATTAAATTCGACACATTCCGTTAGGATGTGCCGAACTGTGAAATTTGTGTTGCACGCCACACAAAAAGTGCGTGTGTCCTATCTTTAGTCGGGTAAAAATTACTTTTTCTCTTCGTGGTAGAGATAGTGGTTTCCTGGGCGTAAGTTTCGGTTAAATGTAATGGAGTTTGTTGTGTATTTGTTGATTCCAAATTTGGTACCAGGAGGATGTGATGTTTTCTTTTACTTTCGGTTTCAT